GACTACCAAGATGGCCGCTAACAAATTCAGCTTAAAAAAGAAGAAAGTGTATGTTTTACTAGAGTTCACGAGAAGCACACAGACAAGACGAGTGACAATTATTTTTTTCACGGTAAACAAATTGGGGTGGCTAGCCACCCTATTCAACACCCCCCTTCCCCAGATCCGCCACTGGTTGGGGTTCTCTATTTAAAAAAGCAAATTATATTTGTAATTGAGTTATGCTACTCGCTTATCTATTCTCGAACTGTTGTGTGCCCCTTCCCCTTTGAAAATGCCAAATTTTTAGCTCAAAAATAGGAAATTTTGAAGTAATTCGTATATAACTCGCACAGGATGCTGTTCGCACAAGTGGATCTTCTTCCACTGAAACTAGCATCCGCTAAAAAAAAATTCCCCTCGAATTGGCCTTCGCTTGAAGTGGCATCCGCTCGAATTGACTGGTTTCCGTAAAGTGACTCTTTTGTCCTTTTTTATTGTAATAATTATTATACAGTGTACAAACCTTCCTCTTCCTCCAAAGAGCATGTATCAGCTGCAACTCGTTCCTTGTAGTAAGGCTGCCTGCACCTGATCTCATCTTTTTTTTTAAAATCTTTAAGGTATCTACAGGCATAAAAATATAATATTGTACTGTAATAAAATAATACTAACAAGACGTCCAATCTACCCCACTGGACAAATCTCAGTGCAATTATTCAAATAGGGGAGGGGACGTTTATAAAAAAAAAAATTATTTTATGAAGAGTACATTATTGAATTAGCATTTTGCGTTACAAAATTTTACTAGGCTTAAAGAGGGAAACACAACAAAATTTTGTTTGTCTTTAAGAAAGATAATGTATGAGAAACCGTCTTACCTCGAAAAGCGAGTACGCACATTTTTTATGCCCGTTCTACAAGATCTCCCGTCCAGGCTGCCTCTCCCTTGCATTTTACCTTCATGTAGTTCAACTCGTCCGCCACTTTTTCTAGAGCATTTTTTTTCATAGTTCTCTTATTTTTGTAGTTGGCAGCCCTTCTTTCATACAATATTTCGAATCTCTGCACAACTTCTATAAGGGATTTTTCACTATGGTCCATCTTTGGTCTAAAATTGAATGATAAACAATATATATTAAATAATTTTCAATAAATACCTAGGCTAATGGAGGGCCTTCTAAAAAAAAAATAAAATCAAAATAGAAAAATCAAAAACGGAGA